CTGGCTATTTGCATCTTTATTTCTTTTTCTGTCAAATGGGCATAACAGTAAGACCTACCTCATGGGTTGTTTTAAGGAGTAGATGAGTTAATATATGTAAGTTGCATGCAATAATCCTTGGCACCTCCCAAAAGCTCAAACAATGTTGACTCTTTTTAGTAGAGCAAAATAATTTGGCTGCAGACAGCATTATCCCTTGGCCTCTCTCCCCACCCCAAACCTATAGACTTTCATTTGCCTTCCTCTCTTCACCTGTTCACCTTCCGATATCTAGTGTTTTGTAGCAAAATTCAAAATTAGTTTGTTTTCCTTTAAGGCAAGTCTAACTTTTCTGCCTTAAATGATTGGAAAGATATTCTCTTAATTTTGTTATTTAAAAACATTGCCAAACTCTATGAGCTAGGCATTCATTATATTCTACTTTCATATGAATTTGAAATTTCAGCAATGGAAAGCCTGAAAAAAGATTGCCAAACTGTGTCTAGATGTGTCTTTTCCCATTGTCTTTGCTGGAATGTGGTGGACTCTATCAGCAGCATGCACAGCTCTTCCACTTGGGCTATTTCTTCTGTCATTATTTGTTTTATTTCTGTTCCATTGACCTCATCTTTGTCCATCAGGGTCTCTTGAATCTCTGTTGTACATCTTCTGCATTCTCAGAGAGACAGAGAGAGCACGCGCACAAGCCAGGGAGGGGCAAAGAGAGTATTTTTAGCAGACTCCCCACTGAGCGTGGAGCCTGATGCAGGGCTTGATGCCACCACACGGAGATCATGACCTGTGCCAAAGTCAAGAGTTGGATGCTTAACTGACTGAGCCACCCAGGCACTCCTTTTGCATTTTCTTCTGTCTCACTGTTGTCTTTGTGTTCTTTACAACTCTACCTTGGCAGAACTTCCCTATCTTTAAATACTGTTTACTTGAGTTTCTACAGTGCTGATTCCTTTTCCTGTTTTCAGTGTTAATTTTAACTCTACTAATGCTGATTCACTTTCCTCGTGATAATTCTTTGATGTATTTATTTCCTTTTTCACCTTTGTTTTTCTCTCCATATTTCTGTTCTTGTTTCATAGAGGCTGCTTTACTTTGTGCTGTGCTGATGATATACCTTTCTTGATGTTTTCTGTGCTACCTTACTTTAGAAATATCAGAGATGTATAGTTCTTATAAGCCTTCTGAGGATTCCATTTTGTTTCCCAAACTATACAATCCTTCTCATTTACTGTTAGAATTTTTCTTCTTTATCCTCAAATGAGGCAGGCCTATGCAGACTTTCAAACTAAGTGATCATTTATGAGAGCACCTGGATTGGTCTAGCATGGTCTTCTTTCTAGTCCTCACTCACTGGTTCTTTGATAGGCTCAATCCTTAGAGTATACAGAGAACTACATTCCCCAGCATGCATTGCTACCTTCCCTCTTCCTGTCCTGGCCTGTCTGTTGCTGATTGTGATCTGTCATTGCCTAGGGACTCTACACCTGCCTCATTGTCTCCCAGATTATCATCTCTAAATGATGGTGGTATAGAGGGGAGGGAGGAACAGGGTTGAAGTGTGGGAGTCATGGAGGAAGCATATCTTGATTGCCTAGCCAAGCAGATCTCTTTTTTTTTTTCTTAGTGCTTTTTAAGCTTTCCTAATTATTCTAGAGGAAATTTACTACTTGTGTTTTATATGTGTGTGTGTGTATTTTTTTTAAGTAATACTCCTGTACTGATGAGATAGCTGTCTAGTATTTAAGATCTGAATCCAACTCTCAGTCCCCAAGAAGTTGTTGGTCAGCAGGACAGGTGTATGAAGTCTCTTTCTGCCTTTCTCAGGGCAGATTCTGATGTCTTAAAGCTTGAGTTGGTTTTTCTTATTCCAGCCCCATCTGCCTTATTATTTATGGGATTCTTCCCAAGTCTGGTCTTAAGCTGATCTTTCAGCCTTTGGTTCTTAGTATTGTGAGTTTTCACCTTTTTGAAAAATGACATCAAGAACTGATAACATAGATGCCATTTTGCCATTAAAAAATTCGGTAAAGCACACATATTAAAACATTTACTGTCTTAACCATTTTTAAGTATATAGCCCAGTAGAGTGTTGAGGACATTCATATTGTTGTGTAACCCACCTCTAGAACTCTATCTGGTGAAATAAACTCCATACCCATTAAACATTAGCTTCCCACGCCCCCCAGCCCCTTGCAACCACCATCCATTCTGATTTTTGTCTCCCTTTTTGCCATTTCTTAGTTCTTAGCTTTTAGGAGGTTGTAAAATGCAGGTTCCTTTTGAAATTTACTGTCTATGAAAATTGTAATATTCATTCATTTTGGCACAGATTTATTGAATGCATACTCTTTGCCAGGCCATATTCTAGTTTCTGGACATCCAACCATGAGCAAGGGCAGTATTGTCTTTGCTATCAGGAGCAGATCTTCTAGGGAGGACAGAAAAACAATAGACCAACGCATGAACAGGGTGAGTTCAGATAGCGCTGAGTGCTATGAAGACCATAAACTGACTCATGGGACCGAGAGCGCCTTTGTGGCAATGCCTTGGCAGAGGAGGTCCCAGGGGGCTTCTCTGAACAAGTGATATTTGAGGCAACCCCTGGATTTATGCAGGAGACCTCTCCCCCACGCAGAAGAACTGGAGGGGTGGCATTCTGAGCAGAAGGAACGGCACGTGTGAAGGCTCTTGACTGTAACAAACTTGGATCACTTGAAGAATGGAAAAACTACCAGCGTGACTGGAGCGTAGTGAGCAGTGAGGAGAAGGGGAAGTAAGACCAGGAAGTCATGCAAGCCAGGCAGCTATATTGTATTCCAACTGTCGTGAGAAGCCACTTGAGACTTTTCAGCTACAGCTATGTGATCTAACACTTCTTTTGTGTTCTTTCTTCCTTCCTTCCTTCCTTCCTTCCTTCCTTCCTTCCTTCCTTCCTTCCTTCCTTCCTTCCTTCCTTCCTTCCTTCCTTCTTCTTTCTTTTCTTTTCTTTTCTTTTCTTTTCTTTTCTTTTCTTTTCTTTTCTTAAGATTATTTGTTTGTAATGGGTACCTGGGTGGCTCAGTGGTTGAGCATTTGCCTTTGGATCAGGGCGTGATCCCAGGGACCTGGGATGAGTACTGCGTCATGCTCCCCACAGGGAGCCTGCTTCTCCCTCTGCCTGTGTCTCTGCCTCTCTCTCTCTCTCTCTCTCTCTCTCTGTCTCTCATGAATAAATAAAATATTTTTTTAAAGAAAGATTATTTATTTGAGAGAGATGGAGGTGGAGGGGGGAGGGCACAGAGAGAGAGGGGGGAGGGCACAGAGAGAGAGAGGGAGAAGCAGACTCCACTGAGCAGAGAGCCTGATGTGGGCTCAATCTCAGGATCCTGAGGTCACGACCTGAGCTGAAGGCAGACACTTAACCAACTGAACCACCCAGATGTCTGAACACCTGATGTTTTTTTTAAAAAATTTCTGCCTGAAAATATGCTTATGTTGATAGTACCATACACACTGACACATTGACATACACAGCTTTTTCCTCTGCGTCTGTTATTTTGTTTCCATCAACCGGAGTCTCTCATGGTGCCAAAATTCTGGGATACTTGTAGATTTTTCTTTGAGTAACAATAATGAAAAGGCTAATGAAGGGACACCTGGATGGTTCAGCGGTTGAGCATCTGCCTTTGACTCAGGGTGTGATCCCGGAGTCCCAGGATCGAATCCCTCATCGGGCTTCCTGCATGGAGCCTGCTTCTCCCTCTGCCTGTGTCTCTCCCTCTCCCTCTCTGTGTTTCCCATAAATAAATAAAAATTTTAAAAATCTTTAAAAAAAAAAGAAAAGGCTTAATGGATATGATTACCCTACTGATGGAACTTTAGAGACCCTGCAAGGTTGAGTTCCAGTTCATGTAAGGCTGTATCCACTACAGCCTCCCTTTTTTTCATCCCTTATTCCTGCTTTTAGATGGAGAACCGAGTCTGGGGTGGGGGCAATTGAGTTTGTTATTCTAATGGTGGAATTGGTAAAGGAATTCCTTGTGATTACTCCTGTCCCCACTAGTGAACATATATAGATATTCCATAATAATACCTGACTCCTAAAATAAATTTTAATAGAGTTAAAAAAAAAAAGTATTTCCCCTAAGGGTTGAGGGATGATTAGAAACATGCTTTTGGTTTATCAGACTGGTGTTTATAAAAAATTTTTCTTGCTAGAATGGAATGAGCACCTGTCTTTAGTGATGGGGCTTCTTGACTTTTCCCACAGCAGCCATATCTCCTGGCAGAGGTGGGGGCCACGTGGTGCAGGCAACTTTTCAGAATTGTGATCATAACGTCAACTGTAATTTTTACCACAGTTTGAGGGGCACCGGGTGGCTCAGTCGGTTGGGCGTTTCCCTTCAGCTCAGGTTGTGATCTTGGGGTCCCAGGATCGAGTCCCAAGTTGGGCTCCCTGCTCCATGGGGAGTCTACTTCTCCCTCTCCCTCTGTCCCTTCTTCTCGCTTGTGCTTTCTCTCTTTCTCTCTCTCTCTCTCTCTCCCCCAAATAAATAAATAAAATCTAAAAAAAAAAGCCCAAAAGTCACAATTTGAGCACCCCATTGTTGATCAAATTTGACTTATTATAATGTTTTAATTATATTTATATTTTCATTTTTTATTCATTAACTTTATATTTTCATATAAATATTTTTTCTTTAAAAAACTTAAGAAAAACACTTTTAAGAAAATCTGGCTTTGGTGAATGCGATTTTTTTTTTTTGAAGGGGGGGCGGTGCCAAGGATGGGGAAAGAAATAGCCCATAGTGATTCTGACTGCCATTACACAGAAACTGGTTTATAAATAGATCCATATCTACACTTGGGAACCTCATTCAGAACAAGCCCACTTAAATTTACCACCATCCACTTCAAACTGGGCCCATTTCACGTCCATCTCCATATATAGTGAGGTACAAATATTTCTTGAGCTGTAAATGTTTAAATTGGAAAATACTTGGCATCATTCTAGGTCTTTATTGCAGAGAACATCCTGGGATGGCACGGGCCCAAGTCACATTCCACAGAGCAGCTGAAAAATGGGACACTTGGCTCTTTGCCATCAGCCAGTGCCAACATAACCTGGGCGATTTTACCAAACTCCACTGAAGATGAGCAAAGCTTGCAGCCCGAGCCAGAGGTAAGCGAGCCGTTAGTTCTCTCTTAGCACTTCTGTGGCTTGTGTTCTCGCTTGTTCAGAAATGTAGTAATTATATTTGTAACTTGCTCATCTCTTTGTTTTAAGAGGAGACAAATTATAAAATGGAAGCATTGCCTGGAGAGAGACAAAATCAGCTCTGTGCACGCCTGGCACTTCTGTTCTTGTGTCTGGCAGCTGCCGTGGGTGAAATGTGATCCTACCAATGAGGAAGCTCCTATTTTCATTGAAATGGGAGTCATTTTAACTTCAAGTGGGAGAAATTCAAATGCACCCATTAAAATGATGCCTGTTGACATGATGGGAGCAGTTACAATATATTATGTCACTCCCCTGAATAATGGCTTCTTCATGTGGTTCGTGCTAACATCAGCTCCCGCCTCACATGCTCGACCCCTGCATGCTCCAGAACCAGGCCAGCGTCCCCCGGGCAGTGGCTGAGACTCCTGGGCGTCCCCCCGGCTGCAGGGGGTAGCTGCCCTGCCTCGGCAGGCTCCGTGGACTGTCCTCTGCCCACAGGACTCTCCTGACTAACTGTGCTTCGAAGTGGCAGCTCGAAGGAAGCCAAACACAGCGCTTCCTTTTGTTGATTTAACTTTATGCCTCGAGGGAAGTTGTTTTCCATTTTTCTTTTGATGCGCACAGTCTATTGACGTGCCCTTGTGAACTGGGCTGGGATGTACCCAAAGATGTGTTAAAGGTTGTACTTAATGCTGACTAAAGTCACTTAGCCTGAGAAATGTAGGGCCCTCGTAAAATAAATCTGTTGAGGATGGTTGAGAGCCCCAAGGCAGCTTCTTGGATCAAATGGTCTTGGTCATCGATTGAAAATGTTTTCCAAGCTTCACATGATGATATTCTGGAACAGGAACTCAGTAGCTTGGCTCTCATGAGACAGGATCAGCCTGCCTACAAATATTTCATAGCATCTATAAGGTGTCTTCGCAGGGTATGAAACGAACAAAGGATGTTGAGATTCTCCAAGGCACTTTCCTTTACCTGTACCATGAGTTTCAGGTTGAAAACACTTGGCAGCTGGTACGTAAGGTCAACTGGGAAGTAAGTTGGCAATGGAGTAAATGGTGGGAGCCCTGCCGTCCTACTGGTCTTTTGAGAGCCTTGGGTGAGGTGGCATTTCAGGCTGCTGAAAGGTTGAAAACTATACTGTCCATCATTTCCCTGGCAAAGAACCTGTGGGGGTTCACGTCATTATAAATATATTTAAGGTCTTGCTCTAGGAAAAAATTAAGGATAGGGAAGGAAGTTATTAGGTCTTTGGTAACAATTTTTCAGGGTCTCCTTCCCAGCAGCATTCTTGGGCAAAACCTAACAGCAGCCATAACCTAATAAGCATACTTACTAGGGCTGGTGGTCTTCCCCATTCTGTGAATCCTCCTTCCTGTTTCTTCTTCCCTGAGAGTGCTTTCTATAACAATGAAGCTTGAGAGGCCAGATCTATCCTTTTTTTTTTTTTTTTATTAAAGGTTTTTTATTTACTCATGAGAGACACACAGAGAGAGGCAGAGACACAGGCAGAGGGAGAAGCAGGCTCCCTGAGGGGAACCCGGTGTGGGACTCAATCCCAGAACCCTGGGATCATGATCTGAGCCGAAGGCAAACAAACGCTCAACCACTGAGCCACCCAGGCGTCCCCAGGTCTGTCCTTTTTACTTAGAATTGCTGCCCCGCTCCCCACTCCCCGCCCGCCTCCCAGGCCTGACCAGTCACCAGTATCAGCAGAAGAGTATATAATTGGTCACGAGAAGTAACTAGCTCCCAAGTTCAACTTTTTAAAAATACTTTGAAGGTGAAGAATGAGGGAGACCTTTTTCCCCCCCATATGTTAGGAACACCATTAGTTTCTAGTTGTTGTATTACCTTTGTTCTGGTCAGAGAAGTGTCATGTATTGGTGGGTTAAGTCCTTGCTCGAGGCAGTGAGGACTTATGGGGCATGATGATGTTTTGATGGTTTTCTGAGAAGGGAGAGTTCGAGACTCCTTTCATTTTTTTTCCAGGGACAGCTCTGGTAGATGATTCTCACAACCCTCACAACTAAGGTTGGTTGGATACTATTTTTGCTGTAGGACATTGTGCTTTGTCACTTTTTCTTTTCTTTTTTCTTTTTCTTTTTCTTTTCTCTTTTCCTTTTCTTCTCTCTCTCTCTCTCTCTTTCTCTCTCTCTCTCTTTTTCTTTTGTCTGAAGGATGGAAGAAGCTAGCAATATTGACCCAGTAGTTTTCCTGTCAGGAAAAGGAAAATGTTTTCATTGCCTCCTTTTTGTACAATTTGGAGAAATGACCCAAGAAGGAATGAAGTGAGATTATGAGAAGCTGAAAATTTCTTATGAGAATGTTCCTTAACCCTTTGATATAGAGAATAGAGTTATTATGTAAATGATCACCAGGGAAACTCAGGATTGTGGTTACTATGGTACTTTAATTGAGTAAACCTTTTTTTTCTGGGTTGTTGCTTTGATTGTGTTAAGTCTTTAGAGGCAATAATTAGGGTATAAAAGGTGTACCTCGCTCCCATGGATGAGTGTTTTATTTATTTAAAAATATTTTTTAGGGAATCCCTGGGTGGCTCAGCGGTTAAGTGCCTGCCTTCAGCCCAGGGCGTGATCCTGGAGTCCCGGGATCGAGTCCCACATCAGGCTCCCTGCATGGAGCCTGCTTCTCCCTCTGCCTGTGTCTCTCTCTCTCTCTCTGTGTGTGTCTCTCATGAATAAATAAGTAAAATCTTTAAAAAAAATAAAATAAAAAGATTTAAAAAAAAGATTTTATTTGTTCATGCGAGACACACAGAGAGAGGCAGAAGGGAGAAGCAGGCTCCTCGCAAGGAGCACGATGTAGAACTCAATCCCAGGATCCCGGGATCAAACTCTGAGGCAAGGCAGATGCTCAACCACTGAGCCACCCAGGTGCCCCTGGATATGTGTTTTAATACCACCAACTAGTTAACTCAATCCAGTTCACTGGACACAGACCAGGCGTCCTGCAATTCAATTCAACTCCAACATTGTCTACCTGTGGAGAGCTTCAGATCCTGCAGATTAAGGGCTCAGCCCCACAAGACTGTCTTGTCCCTCCCACCCCTGCCCCACCTTCAGCCAATCACAAGTCCAGGCTACCTGTGCTTCTGACCAACTGGCTATAGATCAGAGGTTCTCACATCCCTCTCTGTGGGTTTGAATAATTTGTCAGAGTGGCTCACAGAACTCAGAGAAACATGTACCAGTTTATTATAAAAGCTTATAATTCAGGAACAGATGGAAGAGATGCATGGGGAAGGTGTGGGAGCTTCTGTGCCGTCCCCAGAACCTCCCTTCCAGCACCTCCACATGTTCACCCACCTGGAAGCTCTGTCAACCCTGTTGTTTTGGGGTTTTATGGAAGCTTCATTCCATGGGCGTGATTAAATCTTTGGTGATGGAACTCAACCTCCAGCCCTTCTCCCCTCCTTGGAAGTCAGGGAGTGGGACTTTCAGTCCCACCCCTCCAATCACTGGGTTACTGCCACTGGAGACAGTCACCATCCTTAGGTTACCTAGGGGCTTCCAGAGGTCACTCATCAACATAAAAGACACCTTTATCTTTCTTTCTCATCCCTTCAGGAATTCCAAGAGTTTCAGGAGCCTTGTGCCAGGAATGGGGACAAAACCAAATACCTATTTCTTGTTAGAAATCTCAGTGTCACACTCCCCTCCCCTTGTTGTGGCTTTACTGTAGAACATCTTATAGATACCTGGAAAATTAATGCATTTTCAAGCTTCGTCTGTTTAATTCCCAGCTGAATAAAACTCAAAGACCAGTGTGTATTTAATACATGAGTTAGAGTAGAACTGTGGTTGGCTCTATTATCAAATGCAGTGATCTTAAAATTTTATTCTGCTGGGGCTAGAACTAAGTACATGTGAAAATGAAATATTCTTCCATAATGAAATGAGTTAGGATCTTGGTTTTACCCATTAGCAGAACAATTTTTCAACTCTCTCAGCACTGTTTGAAATTTAAATTTAAACAGAAAAGGAGTTTTGTTGTGCTGTCTTGGGGGAAGAATGCTTTGTCACAGGACGGGGAGAACTGTGATGGGGAGATACTGGGATTGGCTCTCTTAACCTTCATTCCACCCTCCTGATGGAAAACCTAACAACTACATGTCCCCAAATTTCTTACAGTTGGATTTTTGAATGCATGACAGGTCTCATAATCACATTTGTGTGAGATTGGGAGCCTAAGCTGAGACCAAGTTTCTTTTGCTGGGGCTGCTGGTGGGCAAGGTCATGAGGATGTGGGTGTTCCGAGGCGGCTGCAGGGGCCAGGTGCATTGTCCTGGGGCCTCAGGCCCACCTGCATGGGCCTGACAAGCTGCAGGGCTGGCAGCAGCAGCCACTTCCCGGCATGGGGCTCGTGACTCTACAGTGGTGTGTCCTTGAAATAAGGAATTGAAGGAGAACTTTGCATTCCCCACACCTTTCAGAGATGATGTCAGCACCTAATTTCCATATCCAGTCCCCTTCTGATGGAAATACCCAGTGTGGTTTCTGTTTCCTGCTGTGGATCAAGACTGGTTGTGCTATTGGAATCGGAAAAGCCAAGGGCGACATGTAGACAGTCACGAATATGACCATCTATACCTACCTTTCTGGAGGGACCAAACCTTAATAGTTTTAAAAGACAGTTTTATTGAGGTATAATTCATGAATAATAAAAGTCATCCTTTTAAAACACAATTTTATCACTTTTAAGTGAGTTAAAATACAGACTAATTCTGTCACTTTCCAAAATTCCCTTGTGTTCCTTTATAGTTAAGCCCCTCCCCCTATCCCATGGCAGTCCTTATCTGATTTCTGTCTATTGTAGCTTTGCCTTTTCTGGAATGCCATTTATATGAAATCATACAGTATCTAGCCTTTTGAGTTGGACTTCTTTTTTTTAGATTATTTATTTATTCATGAGAGACACAGAGAGAGAGGCAGAGA